AAAACTTTTTCAATCGATTCCAGCTATGTATTGATTCAGAAGGAGACTATTTTGAATAAAAAGAGTGAAATTTTGAAAATAATTCCCGTCTTGTATTTTTAATGAACACAGTCCTAACAGAACCTGGACACACTGTGTATATCTAACCCATGAAGCCCAGCTCCCTCCAGTGAAAGTTTGTGTCTGTTGTGCTGTAAGCGCAAAGATGGTTGTACCTGTGTTTTTAATGATACAATTAATTGAAAAAGTGTCTACGTGTAGAGAGAACAGCATTTTCAACACCGCCTGTGATCTGTGAATTGTAACTAGTACTTCATTCGATAAGTTATCGGCCAACAGGCATGCTGATACATCGGCAAAATTCGCATGCGCCTCGCAGCAAGGAGCACACCATCAGCCATGAAGCTCAGAGCTGAGGAACCGGTCAACACAGTAAAAATCCTCCCTGTACACATCGTCGGTTATTTCATGACGCCGTCAGTAAATAGACGATAAAGTGTCAAATGATTAGGTTCATTGGTAAATTGGATGGGATGTGGAAGGATGTGGTCGTGAACTAGTCTAAATACTATCTGAGAATTTGGCTGTAAGAACTAAGGAAATCCACCAAAATCTCAGACAAGACAGCAGACCGAAAACATCCAGAACAGAACACTAAAGCGTTACTGCGGAGTCAACCCCGTTCTCTCTCCTGCGACATTCTCTACAAAGCTTAATTAATTAAGCACATATTCATATATGATCCAGGATAGCTCAGTCGGTACGGCAGCTGAGCTTCGGGCCGAACGACCGGAATTCTATTCCTGGCAGGGGCAAGAGGTTTTTCTTTGTTCCATTACTCCCAGGCTGGTTGTGGGGCCCATCCAGCCTCCTATCCAAAGAGTACCAGGGGTTCTTTCCGAACAGATTAAGCAGCCGGTCGAAATCCTCATCACTCGCCTCTATCTAGTACCGAGGTCAAGAATGGTGGAGTGATGCTTCCACTCCCCCATGTGCTTTTTAATGAAATAATTATATAGAGGGATAACTTTACTATACAATCCCATGAAACTGCATGGTTGTATGTACGTATGACACCATGCATTCATAAACTCAGCACTAGATTGAAGTAAGTGGTTGGCTGCATGCTCCGACCGCTTTAATCCCAAAGAAAGAGCTACCTGACCAGTACACATTGTATCCTCCTATGAGACTGTGTAGTCCGCAGAGCTAGTCTGGTCGCTGTGAAAAAGAGAGAGATAGTTTCTTGTAAGGGCACACATTTCGAGCCTAAAGAGAAAGATATATAGTTAAAATGAATTGTTGAACGTTATAAATCGAAATGGAGAAGAGACAGAAAGCAGATAGAAGCAGACGAAAAAGGAAAGTTTAAATAAAGCAAGTAAGGAACAAGAAACCGAAATAAAGTTTCACCTTTCAGTCCAGTGGTTACCAGTTCTCTTGGCGATGAACCGCAGACCATGGAATGAACTGTTCGAGAAGAAATCTTCTAGTGCATCTTCAATTATAAACATGGTTATATTATATGTGATACAAACCACGCTTCTCTATAACCGGAAGAACTCACTTTTCTGTCCTATGTACAAATTCATGAAGCCGTGCGTACTGTCTAATGTTTCATTCGTAGTTCGCATGTCAGAAATGTGTTCTGTTTCGGGGCAATTCGAATCGCTATGGTCATTAATTATATATACTCCTAAAGGCTGCATTGCCCATAATACGACCAATATTCAACTCTTTGAGATTGTATCTTTACCAAAATGGACTACAACCTCATGAAGCTCACTAAAGTTTGTTTTCGTGTTTGTAGTATATTCCTAAAAGGAGTAATAGACTTCAAAATTGAAAGGCGATACAGAGTGACCGATTGATATCAGAAACTTTGTGGTAAATTCACTTTGTTGGTAATGAAATTTTAATTTTGTATTCTGGTAACACTACCCTACAGAATGCATGGCAAAATATTGGCATAAATATAGCTAACAGACCTTTTGGAATTGTGGCACAGTTCAGATATCTGGGAACGACCGTAACAAATCAAAATGTGATTCAGGAATAACTTAAAAAGAGATTGAATTCGGGTAATGTTTGCTATTATTCAGTCCAGAACCATCTGTCTTCTCGTCTGCTGTCTAAAAACATAAAAATTAGAATATACAATACAAGACTATAATTTTGCCTGTGGTTCTATATTGATGCGAAACTTGGTCTCTGACAGCGTGCTGAGGGGAATATTTGAACCGAAGAGAGATGAAGTGACGAGAGGTTGAAGAAAACTGCGTAATTATGTTCTCTGTAACTTGTACTCTTCACCAACTCTAACTAGAATGATCAAGTCAAGGAGGATGAAATGCGCAGGGCATGTAGCACGAAAGGAGGCGAAGATGATTGCATATAGGATATTGGTGGGAAAGCTAGAAGAGAAGGGATCACTAGGAAGTTGAAGATATATGATGGTGGAGAAGATTAAAATGGATATTAGGGAGACAGGATGGAGTGGTATGGACTGAATTGATCTGGCTCAGGATAGGGACTAGTAGAAGGTTCTTGTGAACACGGTAATGGAACTTCGGGTTCCATAAAGTTCTTGAGTAGTTTCACAATTGGCGGCTTCTGAAGAAAGGCTCAGCTCCATGAAGTTAGTTAGTGTGCTTAATTGCAATTGTATTCAAGAGACCAGGACTTATAAGTAAATATTGAAGTTCTAGAATACCTTCATAATACAGTAGATATTCTGCTTTATTATTACGGAAATTTTACGGATTGCGGAGAAATTGTATTGAACATAACGTGCGTATTTCAGTTTTTTCTCGATAACACATGTACGATCTAAATGGAAATGAAAATGACTCGAGATTTTTTTTTTAAAATACTCCAGTATCAGATTTTTTTTTTAAATACTTCCATATTTCTTAGATTATTTCATGCGGACGGACTGAAGGACTGAGCAAAATTAATAGGTGCTTGGTAGGATTCAAATGATCTACCAGACATCGCAATCTTCAACTGCATATGAGGAATTAACTTCATATCTCCATAATTTTATAGTGCTGTTTTTAATATTTTTTAATATTTGTATTACCTTTAACATTTTCAGTTATTTTTTTGTAATAGGGGGCACGCGATAGCGTAATTTGTTGAGGCACTATGCTACAAGCCGGAAGGTCGCGGGATCGAATCCCGATTGCGACATTGTTTCTTTTTTTCAATTCACCTAATCCTTCCAGCCGCACTATGGCCCTGGGGTCGGCTCAGCCTCTAACAGAAATGAGTACCAGGAATATTCTTGGTGGTAAAGGGCGGCCGGTGCGTAGGGCTGACAAACTTACCGCCATCTATGAGCCGATTGTCTAGAAAATGTGGGAACCTCAACATCTCACAACCCTATGGGCCTTCACGACCTGTTACAGGGATAGCTTTACTTTTTTTTTTTTTACTTTACCCTGTTCTAAAAGAAAACGCGGAGACAACTAAACGCATTCTTCTGTCTCGTCACCAGAATGCACTTGGTCTCTTGGTCTCTGACATTAAGGGAGGAACATAGACTGAGGGTGTTTGAGAACAGGGTGCTAAGGAGAATATTTGGACCGAAGAGAAATGACGTGAAGTGAGGTTGGAAAAACTGCATAAAGAGGAGCTTCATAACTTGTACTCTTCGCCAAGTGTAATTAGAGTGATCAAGAGAAGGATAGCAGGGCATGTAACACGATTGAAGAGGATGAGCAATGCATGTAAGATATTGGTGGGAATGCCAGAAGGAAGGAAACCACTATGAAGATCTAGACATAGATGGCAGGAAGATATTAAAATAGATCTTAGACAATTAGGAAGGGGTGGTGTGAACTGGATTCATGTAGCTCGGGATAAGGTTCAGCCAGAGGTGATTGATTATGCATTCGTTCTAAGGTACATAAACCTGTCAATTTTAGTTGTATGAGGATGAGTTACGAATTACGTGGTATAGAATCAGTGAAAAGCTTTTACTGTTGTACTTATTTACGTTAAGGGTTACAAAACTGACGCTTGTAACTCTAGAGGCATGTCACTGTTATCAACTACATACATAACTGTGTCCACCATTCTTTTCTTCAGTTAACTCCAAACATAAGAAAAGTATGTGATATAATCAGTGGGATTATGACGTACTGTTCACGTAAGGCCGTGTCATAGCTTAGGCGGTTAGTCGCTGTCTTCCCACCGCTGCAACCCGGGTTCGAACCCTTGTCAGATCATGTGGGATTTGTGGTGGACAAAGTGGCACTGGGGCACGTTTTCCCTGAGTACTTCGGTTTCCCCTGCCATCTTCATTCCACGAATTGCCCCACAATCACCAACAACTATCTGGGGCTGGTACAATAGGCCAAGAATGGTCACAGCACCAAGTGGACTCACTCTCCTCCAAATAATACTAATAATAATAATAATAATAATGTACCAGTGGCAGTCTCTTGAAGCACGGAAATGGACCTTCGGTTTCCGTAAAATGTTGAGAATTCTTGAGTAGTTGACCTACTGGTGGCTTCTCAAGAAGGACTCAGCTCCATGGTAATAGTTCAGTTTAAGGGCTGCATTATCAGCATCTACAGTTAGAGCATATGATTTTCATCTTTCATTCCGCCTGTCATTTTGTCAACAAAAAAATAGAACAACATATTCATTCCATGTTAGAAAGGAAGCTTCTGTTTCTCCAAGTGTTTTACAGTCACGCACACTTTAATGTTGTATTAATCTTTAATGTAAGTTCTTAAAATCTGAAGGATTTAAAACTTGCAGCAATTTCTGATATGTTCCTTTGCTGTACTCGTAAAAACAGTATGGATCTGCAGGCATAAATACATTCATAGTGCGGCATGAATGAAACGTTTGTCCTTATAAAAAAGGAAAGCTTTGTGTAAGTAGATTTCGCGTGAATAAATTAATTATGTATTAGATCTCATGTCCTGCCCTGGTGACTGCCAAGTTCCACCAGAAGAACGGGTCCTATCGCTTGAGAAACACCGGCTTACATCACTTGTTCTTTTGGGGTGAGAACTACAGGTTGAATCGCATAGAACCGGCCCGATGAATTTGCTAATAATTCCGCAGGTGATGCATATAACCGCTCACAATTACGACATAATAATCCTTGGGCCTTGCTGAGTCGAATGGTGTACGCATGATCCGGTAAGTGGCAGCCCTTAGCTGCAAGGTCAAGGACAATCCCGAAACGTGTCTGCAGTGCGCAGGCGACAGTCATGGAGTATAAGGTTGAACAGCGAGTGTTTCTAGTTCCTACTTGAAAACGGCGGACACTTTCAACACCTGCTCTGATCACGGCACACAATCCAAGATAAGATATGTGTAAATTACATTAATATCTGTATGGTATATTTTATATTACAGCTCATTTCGTCGGGCCGGTTCTATATGAATCACCCTGTATTTTACGACTGCGGACTTCACAGCGTCGAGTAGTGGGATAACAGATGAAGAATGGTTTGGAAATTATTTGGAATAGAATCCATCATAGGTTGATCGATGTACTATGTCCACATTTGCCTGGAGGGACTGAGAAAAACTATGAAAACCTCATTCAGGGTAGCTGGTATCCCGAGCGAATGTCGAACCGAGCACCTTCTGAATACGAATCCAATTCTTTACCGCTGCGCTAACCTGTTTGTTTATTAAGGAAGCTCAGAGTAAATATTGCTTGGAAGGGAGCATGCAACACCAGGAATATTTCAGGTACTAAATGTAAGTTCCATTGTATATATCTGTATCAATGCCAGGTCCTCCATGTTAGGGTAAAGAGCAGAAGAAACACGGCCAGCGAATTCCTTACAGCTAGTTTCGAAGTTTGAATGCAGTAACACCATGCGCATCGTTACTGGAATAGGCTTCGCTGACTGTCCATTTCTTCCAATTAACGTTTCCTGCGTTAAGTAATTTAAACGAGGATAGCTTCAGAATAAGTTTAATCATGAGTTACGCATGCGCAGTTGCATGTATACATGGCAAGGTAAAGGATATCATAATGTTTGAAGACACAGACAAATAAGAGATTGCTAAAATTATAACGAACCGAATGAAAGAGGGAGCAACGATATAGTAACACTGAAGAGAAAGTGAGATAGTAGATGCTTGTGGTAGACGGAGAGAAAGAATGAGATGTAATACACTCATGGCACTAGATTTCGCCCGCTGCCGCAGTTGCCGTTCGACTTCAAGCGACGTCGGTCCTGTAACGGCTGCTCGAAAGATAGTTAATTCTTCCTCTGTTATACGTTCTCTTTGCCAGTTTGTCTGTGACCAGTGTTGTGTACCACGTGTTATTTCAATCAGACATCACCACCACCACACCACCGTTGTGATCACAGCAACCGGCAAAGCAGTAATAAATACAGAATAGTAACCCACATGTTCCTGTGCGTTCTCAGCGCCTTCCGTTTCATTCAAGTAAATTTTCAAAATTCACAATTAAAAAATAAACCGTCACTGTTGGTGTTTAGTGTTCTGTCGGTTTACGAATACAAAAACGTTATTTAAATTATATGAAGGCTTCGAGAGCGAATTGTGTTGTGCTTGAAAACGCCGATTGTTTATTCGGAACGAAAACGCGTCTTTAGAATGTTCTAGTGCTTTAAAAAGTTTTATTTATAGGACCTGTTTTGAAATGAACTGACATCAAGTAATATTTTATTACTGTTAACCTAAACAATACTTAAACAGTGTTTGTGTCCCTATTCTGAAAACTTGTGTGACTTAACTGACCCCGTTTGACACGTGGAATTCTGTGTAATATAACTCGTTTTTGACTTCACTAATAATTAGAGAAATAATTTATTTACAGTGCTCATAATTTGTATGTGTTAAAAAATGGCGTGGTTGCTAATTTATATCGTCATAGCGACTCTTATGGCATTAAACTCTCACGTGACAACTGGATTCAATGTGGATACGGAGAATATCGTGAGACACCGCGGTACCCGAGGGTCCATGTTTGGCTTCAGCGTTGCTGAGCATCGCGACAGGGGGACAAGCTGGTAAGTGTACGGCTGGCTCTCTGCTCACTGTTTTCTTTCTGTTTCATGTAGCGCAGATGCAACACTTAATGGAGGTCGTACCATAGCTCTAATCCAATGGGTACCGGGGATAAAGCGGCAGGTGCGTGAAGCTGACCACTCACCTCCAGCTAGTGCCGAAGTAAAGGAAATGTGGATCTATACGTTCACTCCCCCATACGCCTTCATGGCATGGTACTTAATTAACAGAGGGACAGCTTTACCTTTTATCTGCGTTCAGACCAAGAACAGGTGCAATTCTCTCTCCCCCCATTAAGCGCCCTAGACAACATGAAAAAATTTACTGATTGATTTATCTGTATTTGGCGATGTACAAGACACATTTATACTGACTACGAGTATATAGTCTGTTCTATTGTGTATGTGCATTTCATTACGCTATGAGAAATGGGCTCGAAAGTAAAGTGGGCCAGTTGTCGAATTATTTGTCACGAAAATTGTAATACTATTGCTGGAAGAGTGTGTTGGATTCCTTAGAATTTTGTTTCCATTTTTACTGTGCTGATTTGTGACCGTTTGTGACTGTGTTGCAATGTTAATGAGTCCAGGTACGGGACATTATGGGGATCCGGAAGAGGTCAACCAATATCCTCTGCCACTAGTGTTTGTTCATCAGCGCGTTCCGTTTCGGAAACAAATTTATTTGGAATTTGTTACTGAGAATCTGCAATGAAACTTATAAGGCGAATTGATTCGATCTCTGCTTGTTAATTGTCAACTCTAGTTTGCATGAAGCTCAGGTCGAACAGATTTCTTTCTTAAATCATTTCGTCGTATGAATAAATTATTTGTAGCATTACGTGGCGCATAAACTTTTATTTGGAATGTTTCTTAATGCGGGTGGTACTAGTCGAAAGGGAACTACTTAGGACTGTGATACGACTATCACGATAACAGCTGCAATAAATAAACATATAGGTCAGTTACATATGAAAGATTACTGAGAATGTATTTCTAAAATATTTATACTTCTTTGAGAGTGGTCATATCTTGAGTAATAATTATTAATTCGGAGCCTCATCAAAGAACAAGACCCTGTAAAATCATCTTATGTTATTTTATTTATTCATTCAGTTTGTGAGGCACGTGGTAGCGTAGTTGATTGAGGCACTATGCTGCAAGGTAGAAAGTCGCGGGTTCGATTCCCGATGAGGACATTGGATTTTTAAATTGACCAAATCCTTCCAGTCGCACAGTGGCCCTGGAATCGACTCAACCTCTAACAGAAATGAGTACCAGGAATCTTCATGGGGTAAATGGTAGACGGCGCATAATGCTGATAAATTTACCGCCATCTGTAAGCCGATTGCCAACAAAGAATGTGGCAGCCTCGGCGTCTCACAACTCTATGGGCCTCCATGGCCTGTTAACAGGGATAGCCGAATAGCTCTTAGCTGGGATGGGACTTTTCTTGGTCATCTGAGTTACTTTCTACTTCTGCACTCAAAGATATTTTAGACGGTTTATGCTTGTTCTTGTAGATTATATAAATTTGTAGTTGAGGAGTGCGCACAACTAATGTTACTACGACGCCAAGGGTAGGCCCATATAGCCCTGCTGCCATGCAGATGCAAGTTACGCATGGTTTGTAGTTGGGAGTGCCCTACAACGGTTTCTCCATTGCATGTCAGTCTTCCAGCCATAAACAGAACAAAATTCACTGCAATGGTCTGTCCCGAATTTTGTTTTGAAAAATGCTAACAAACTGCATTACAGGAGGACCTCCCGTAGGCCTATCCACAAAACAGCCTTCTGTTTACTGTCTTTTTTTTCCCCCTTGGCACTACAGCCCCAGTGGGCCTAGGCCTACCTCCATGAACTCCCTTCACTTCGGTTTTTCTAGATCTTACACATACGGTAGGACTCCTTGGGCGAGTGATCAGCTCGTCGCAAGGCCTCTACCTGTACACAAACACAGAAAAACGCACACAAACATCCATGCACTGAGTGAGATTCGAACCTACGATCCCGGCTTCCGAGCGAGCGAAAACAGTGCATGCCTTAGACCGCTCGGCTACCGTGACCGGCGGTTTAATGTCTTTACTCATCCTTTATAAATTATGTTTTATGCGGAAAATAAGGTCGCTGTCTGGTAGTTAGTATTCCTTTGTTATCGGGAGGTCGCGAGTTGAAATTGTTATACTATGCCTACATTTAGACCGCGGCATAGCTCAAGCGGTTAGTCGCTGGCTTCCCACCGCGGCGGCCCGCGTTCGGTCTCGGGTCTAGTCAAGTGGGATTTGTGGTGGACAAAGTGGCGCTGGGGCAGGTTTTCTCCGAGTACTTCGGATTCCCCTGCCAATCTTCATTCCACCAATTGCTCCACAATCACCCTCACCTAACATCTGGGGCTGGTACAATAGGCCAGAAGTGGCCGCAGTACAAGGGACTTAGTCCCACCCCAATAGCAATAAAAAAAATGCCTACGTTTCATATAAATCGAGGTTTAACTGCACTCTTAAAATTGGTATTATGGTGTACGAGTATACTGTCGGTGTAGGATCGTGAATGGAGAAGCGCAGAGAATCTGGGAAATGAGTGGACGTGGCATGCTTATGTCCTGGAAACTTCAAGAAGGTTGGTTTGAAGAGAAGACGGTCGCCAGATTAGCCACCCGTCCCTCGGATTTTGACCGGGTGAAAACTGTTTCGTCAGCTGTGCCATCAAAATACGGAACGTTGCAACATTTGTTTTTAACTGTAAGTTCTGTTACCACTACCCCCATGGAAAAGAGCTCTTCTTGGGGAGGTAATAGTTGGTACTATAGTCAAGAAATTAACCCAAATCTCATTACTGAGTTCACAGGAACTGGAGTCTGGTCTCTTTCCTGAGCCACATGACTTCGATCCACATCTGTTTATTCCATTTCAATATTGTCACATGATTGAGTGGCTGTAAATGGGGGTTTGGTTTAGTAATTGCATTTATTGAGTGCTTACTGATAGTAACTACAAATAACTGTAACAGTCTCACTGAGTTACACACCCCGAAGATCACTGTAACAGCACACATAAAGTCTTCGCAATCTTCACTACCCGTTACTTGGTAGCGGTTTTCAACGGCGGACGATCCCCTTCGTATGGGTTCCCCAACTCTCCCCGGCCCCACTTACCAGTTTCTTAATTCTCACTACTGCAGCTTTCAACTTACGCAACTGAAAGTCAAGGTTATATTATGACCGACGGTCAGTTGGCCAATCTGTCTTGGTGTCAAGCACACATCTGGGCCCCAAAACCATATTTTTATTACTATTAGATATTTGTGAGTTTGTTAGTGTGGGGTGTCCTCTCAAATGAGAGGATGGGTCTGTCATTTTCAATTGCTGCTGATCCTCGCCAGCTTAGTCATTCTCGTGTCCGAGTCCCGCGGGATCCAAGACTATATTTTACTGTCTCCCCCCACCTGGAGGACCAGGTCGCCGTGTTTATGTGCCTCAGGAACAAGGTGGCCCAATTATACTCCCAGGCACTGGTATTTCTTTTCGTTTCCTCCTACTACACGCAAGGCTACGGCAGAGGTATTCGAACCCGCCTCCACGCGGGTAGGGCAGGTGAAAGTCAAAGTCATGTTACAACCGACGGTCAGTCGGCCAGAGTGTCTTGGTCTCAAACACACATCCAGGGCCCAAGACCAGATTTTTATTGCTGTCAGACAGTTGTGGGTTTGTTGATGTGGGACGCCCTCTCTGACGGAAGGACGGGTCTGTCGTTTATAATTGCTGCTATTTCTCACCAGTGTAGTCATTCTCGGGTCCGAGTCCCGCGGGACTCATGACCATATTTTACTATCTCAGATTCGAGACTCCCCCAGCTTGGAGGAGCAGGTCCTTGTATTTATATCCCCCAGTGACAGGGTGACCCAGTTATGGCCACAGGCACTGAGTTCTCAAAGTCAGAGTTACGTTACGACTGACGGTTTACCGTCAATCAGTTCGTCCTGGCGTTAAACCCATTGATACCCACAGAACTCTTGCGATAGTAGTCCTTATGTAACATCCTCTCTGACGAGAAGATGGGTTTGTCTCTTATGAATATGCCTGGGGATTTCGTCAAGATAGTACTTGGATGGGCGACGGGACACAGTCAGAGTTACTTCACGACTGGCGGTTACATAACTAGTCCTCGTTATGTAACCCTGGCACGGATATCACAGAAAACGTCACTTCCATTATTGCGTGATCTCTCGATGCCGGGGAAACAACTTGTCCACAGAGCTGTTTCCTAGCAACGGCTTTTGTACTTTCACCTTTTCACACACCTCTTGCTTGGCAGTGGGTCCATATATCACAGTATTCACGCATAGAAGCTTGAATTTCCCAAGTGTCCTCTTCCCTTTAAATCTTTCTACTAAAATTCTGTACGCCTTGCTCATGTGTGCTACTTCCCTTGCCCATCTTATTCCATAGGCCTACGTCAGATGTGGAAGTAAGGCTCTTGGCAAACTAAACGAATCAAGGCCAGTCAAACCGAATCGAGACTGACTCATGAAGGTAGAGAGGCAGAGATATAAGGTTATTCTGTGCAGTCAAATAGAACTCCCTTTGGAGCGTCTTTATGTTGGACTCCATCTGACTGACTGGGTTCCGTTCAGTCAGCTTGCCAACTGCCTACGATGCCATGATAGGCGGTAACTGAACATGTGTGCCGGCAAAGAGGCGGGGGTTGGGGGACAAGCAAAGCGTCTAACCCTCCCCGGGATTTCTTAAATTAAATGAGTCGGGGTGGCGTAGTCGGTATAGCAACTGGATATTAGCTGGACGACCGAGGGTTCGGAGTTGGAGTCCAGGTAGGGTCAAGAATTTTCTCATCTCCAAATCGTCCAGACAGGCTCTGGGGTCCACCTCAACCTCCTATCCAATTTGTACGGGGGGGGCTCTTTCCCCTGGGGTAAAGCGGCCGGGGCGTGAAGCTGACCACTGACTTCCAGCTAGTGCCGAGGTCAAGGAAATATGGATATATACA